GAAGTCGTCATCGTGACGTCACGTGTACACCAGCCTGTGTATTAGGGTTGATGTTCATGCAAATTTTAAACTTCAAGCCGCGGGGAATTATTGTCAAGAAGGAAATAAAAAACACAAGTAGAAGAAGAAAAAACTATGGGTGATGGGCCGGGTTCACCGTGACTACAGCATGCATACAAATATTGTTGATGTACCCTAACGTGGCGCGGCCCCCAACGTGGCGCACTTTGATTTTTCGCCTGTAGCACCTAGCTTAGTGCAAAAGTTTTAGCTGAAATTTCACAGAAAGTGAAATTTCATCATAAATCGCGAGTTTATCTACCCTTACATAGTTAGAAGAAAAATTCATTTTCGGCGTGATTTTCCAATTTTTTTAATTTTTGTTTTTATTTTGAAGTGCAAAGTGAACCCTTTGAAAATGCCCCGAAAAATAAGGAAAAAAAATCTGACAAACTTCTGGTTTGGTATGTAAGTAGAGATAAATGGCTTATCAGAATCTATCAAGTTTAGGCCTACAGGAATTCTTAAATGTCAATTTGGAATTTTCCGAGATTTATTCAAGTGCGCCACGTTAGGGAACACTCCGCGAATTTGTGCCCAATTTCCGGACGCCACCGTTTTTGAATTTCAGATTAAATTTCATGAAACCGAAATTGTTCACACTCAGAGGTTAAATAGCGAGCATTAATAAGGTCAAAGTACCGGTATTTCACAGTATGAATTTGAGGTTTGTCACCAAAGAGGTTTGGCAACACCAGTACACGAGGAAAGTCGGGTAACTACGCTTCGATCGAAGTGCGCCACGTTAGGGAACACGACCATAAGCACTAAGTTAAAGTTAAATGCAACTATTTCATCGGACAAATATTTGATCAAAGGTTCAGCAATGAGATCACGCGCTAAAATTTCTACCTGACGCGATCCCTGTGAATTCGAGGAAAAATGACACGATGTCTGCCACGCGTATCGTCTAGAGATGATGTAATTTTGAAGGAGCCCGCTGGCTGAAGTGACGTAACCCTGGTCCCATTTTACTGCAGGTTGCTGGTAACAAGCGGTAAAGCGCCCAATAAGGCTCTTTAGTCAGTTTCACGCAAGGCCGCGTCCGAATTACTCGGCTACGACTTGCCATCATGTATGTGCATATGTAAGCGGCTAAAGTCACTTCTTGTGGCTCCCTATACATGTACATGTATGTGGCTGCGTTATCAACATTGGGCGCTATTTGGCCTACGTGTACGTGATTATGAAATAGACAGTTCACCGCTAGGCTTGATGATTACTTGATCATCGATTTTGCACATGCTTGTGCGATATAAGTACTACATAGCATGCTTAGTAACCTACAGATTGGCAGAAATAGGAATCAACGACTGTCGACAGTGCCAGAAGAATAATCGATAGATTGTACAATAAATTAAGGTAACTAATCTTAAAAATGTTTTGAGACTGAGAGTTGCTGCATCAGTGCATGCCCATTCATTGCCATTGCATTGCATTGCATTGCATTGGGACTTATGGAAGTGCATGCAAATGATGTGGAGCTAGCTATCTCCATGGAGGTAGAATTGCATGCTATCTCCTACTTCTGAAATCAGAAGGCTTCTCTCCGTCAGCTGACGGAGAGAAGCCTTCTGATTTGACGGAGAGAAGCCTTCTGATTCTTATTCCTCCATGGTTGTTGTAGCGAGATCGGGACAACTCGTACGCGAACCAACTCGTACGCGAGACAACTCATACGCGGATTGGTCAACTCGTACGCGAGACAACTCATACGCGGATTGGTCAACTCGTACGCGAGACAACTTGTACGTTAACCAACTCGTATGCGAGACAAGTTGTACTCGGGCCAACTCGTACGCGAACAGGACTAACTCGACTCATACGCCATGCGCGCCAGCCAACCATGTCAACTCGTACCTGGGTCGAAATTGGCCAATGTAAAGAAATTGAACGATATACCATAATACGTTTCCAGAACTACCTCCATAGACGGAGTCAAGAATCGTCGACCACATAAGCCTAGGGCGGCCTAATTTTATCGGCGCTGTAGTTTTCAATTAAATATATTCTAAAGTTTACCCCTGTATGATGAATATTCATTAGGCCTAGGGGGCCTACTGTATGAATATTTATATGATTGTATAACTATTTTTTGTAGCCATATGTTTTTTCAACAATTTCAATTCAATTATTGCAACGATGTACAAGGTCAAAAGTTTCGATTATAAATTAAAAAATGAATAAAATGATAATGTTGCGACCGATGTGTCTGGACTCAAATTTGGGCAAGCACGTCTAACCACGCAACTGTGGAGAATTTGCAAATTAGTAAATTGCTTAAGTGCAAAGTGCAGGCTGTCTCAGGACGTAGATGAAGCAGAAGGTGTAGAGGGTTTGAGTAAAGAAGGGCGGAAGAGGGCGCTATTTTGTTAATGTAAGTCCGCAAGCAAGGGAAACGAATGACGGAAATGGAATGGTGGAGAGTTAAAAAAGAAAAAGCGTAAGGGAGGGCGTGCTTGTGATCGGGCACTGGGGGTGCGGAGGTGTGGATCCTTGGATCAGGGGATGCCGAGGGAACTGTGACGTTAATTAAGGGAGGGCGCGCTTGTGATCGCCTGATCGGGCACTGGATCTGTGGAGGCGCGGATCTTTGGAATGTGGACGCATGGGGAATTTACTGTGGTCACGTGAAGTTTAGTCTGAAGGGAGGGCGCTATAGAGATCGGGCACTGGATCTGTGGAGGCGTGGATCTTTGGATCAGCTTAGTAGGGGAAAATGTTTTTGAGAACGAGGCAACCATATCCTTATGAGTTTACTTCGACCGTGCATCCAAGCCGCCAATGGATATAATCATAGAATGGACCTTGGATACTGGTAATTCTTGGAGGTAGGTCGACTGGGCGACTGCGCCTCCACGCAGCCATGGAGTTGCGGATATAGAATGGAGTGGCCCTGTATTCAATAGTTGTACCAATACTTTAACCACTTCGCGCCTTGACATTGACCAGACCCAGGCATGCTAGGCGCGGGATTGTTTTTCACGAACCTCGATGCCAGACGGGTTCAGGCTGTCATCTGCGGGTAGTTTCCAGCCTTGCTCGCTAGTGGGTCACAGACAGATATTTCCGCCTCGCTCGTTGGGTGTTTAAATCCATCATCTGTTCCGAATACCGCAAAACCTCAGCATGTACATGTACGTCATCTGACGTAAACTGGTTAAAAATGCACTCGGAAAGATTCCTATATCTGGCCATCACTAACTTTTCCCTTTAGCGACTTATCAGCCATCAGAAAGTGACAATATGTCCTAAAAAGTCAAATTTAGCAGGGAAAATATTGAAGTATTTACTGAGAAAACACTTAGAAATTTTCAGACCAGCCTCATATGGTGACAAATGATGGCCCGATGTGGGAATCTTTCCATGCACTCGACTCTCTAAGACTCCATAGACTTTGTACTTGTAGTACACAACCTAGCTTGAGTAACTCCAGCTCTAATGCTCACCAGGAGTACGACATAGAGCTGGAGCTAAAACTATGTTGTAGATACCAGATTCTAAGAGGCCTTAAAAACGGGACTCTCTGTAGCTTTATCACAACCCTTGTTCCTCTAATAATCCCAACCTATCATCGTCATCATCTTTGGGCGGCCGCAGCCGAGATGGATGCAACCAAACTCTTCCAGACTCTCTTGTCCACCATGGCCGTGGTGATGTCATCGACATGCTGGCTCACATCTTTGCATACAGTGTCAACGTAGTTGAGGGGTCTCCTGATGAAAACTATCGAGAAACGGTTCATGGTAGTGCCAGTTTGTAATGCATTTTACATTTGATGCTATGCGAAACAATCCCTTTTTTGTACAAATATGACAGAACCCCTATTTTTTTCTTCTGGTGAATTTTGTACCCGTGGAAGAAACCCAACCCCAAAATTCATATCCCAGAAGTTGTCTAAAAGATACAGCTTTACGGTGTAAACTGCAGCTTTCGTGAGCGTCATCTGCCGCGCGTTAACATACACATAAACGTGAAATCTGTTTCGGTTGTCCATGCGTGTCCTGTTTTTCATTTTGAAGTTTCCCCACAAATGGCATTCACAACCTTTTGTTTTCATTGTCTTGAGAAGTTCCTAAGTACCGGTAATTTGTAAAGTTGGTTACGGCTACCCGATCCCATAATCTGGAACCAGTTCCTGACATCAGTGGTTCCTGACATCAGCGGTCGGGTACCTGGGTTAGGGTACCCGGGTCAGGGTACCCGGGTCAGGGCACCCGGGTCAGGGCACCCGGGTCAGGGCACCCGGGTCAGGGCACCCGGGTCAGGGCACCCGGGTCAGGGCACCCGGGTCAGGGCACCCGGGTCAGGGCACCCGGGTCAGGGCACCCGGGTCAGGGCACCCGGGTCAGGGCACCCGGGTCAGGGCACCCGGGTCAGGGCACCCGGGTCAGGGCACCCGGGTCAGGGCACCCGGGTCAGGGCACCCGGGTCAGGGCACCCGGGTCAGGGTACCCGGTTCTGATGCACACTCCTACCCACATCCTTCAAAAGCAAATGGGAGGTTTTGAGGATTTCCCATACATGTAGAGCCAAGCCACTATTGCCTCAGTAGTATGGAACTTGCAAAGCCCCTCAAAAGTGAAGTGAAAAACGTCTTTCATGGGTGTTAAGGTTATGTAAATGAGATGTACGTTTATATTTGCATTCATGTACATGTGTACAATGTACATGTGCATGTATGTCCCATGTGGTTAGTTTTATAAGTTCTATAATCCCCAGCACAATTCAGATTGCCATCTTGAAACCAATAATCCTCTAAGTACAAAAGGTCAGTTAAATTAAACATTCTCCCATTAGATTTGGTCCAATAAGCCTTCGGTCAAATAAGATATATTCTAAATTTAGCATCAGGACTTGAGTAAATTTCCTCGTGTTAGCTTGTACACATACAATGTAGGTGCATATAACTTCACACTATAACACTTGAATTGAGTTGGATGGTGTCGGCACTATTGGTCATGCTTCAATTAGATTCACAGTTGAACCATTCAGGAAGCATTCTATTGAAAGTAAATTTTATTCCGACACCAGGACCTCTGCAGGGGATTTGACTAGGAAATCTGTGAAGAACTAAAGAGTACTTAACATTTATTGCTGTTCACGACTCTGTTTGAACTTTCACAAGACTACCAGCATCTGTTCAATCATTCACACTAGTAGTACTGAGCTTTCTGCTAGTTTCTGCGGTTGCACAACAGACCCAGCGCAGAATGTTCTGGAGAAAACGTGAGATTTTTTAACTGTTGTTCATTCACATTGTGTTTGTTCATTATGATTTAAATATGGATGTTCAAGGAAGGTAGGGCCTTTGCATTGGTTTTGTTAATGGGGCACATTGTCCTGAAATTGCCAAAATGTTTATGCCTACAGTTGTAAGATTGTTTACTTGTCCTATTAACCGATAAGAAAGTGAACAAATTAATTGACGATACCATCAAACGAGCTAGTAGGATACTCGGTGAGTGTTTGCCATCAGTGGACACGGTCTACGACCAACGGCTGTGTGACAAGCTACAACTGGTGTGGGGAGATGCTGGGCATCTGCTCCACAACCGATTTAAGGATAACATCATTCCACGCAGCGGAAGACTGAGACCAGTGGTTGCACACACAAACCGATATTCTTCATTTTTCACAGGCAGGGCCATTAAGTGTCATAATGATGATTTTACAAGATGATTTTTATCCAAAGTATTAATTTATTCTGGTATCTGAGAAGCAATGGGTTTTCACAGTTTTTGACATAATTTTTATACTTAGTCCTTTATTCTGGTTCTACTTTGGGAATGGGTTTTGCATTAATTTCACATGTGCTTTTTTACGCTCTAAAATTATTAGTGCTTTATACTGTGTGCAATTGTAATGTTTTGATGTGATTGTGTATTTATTTCCTGAATATTGTAGCGTATTTTGAATTTTTTATATTTTGAATGAGAGACGACAACATGTAATTTCCAGTATTTGGATTTTAATAAAGTTTATCTATCTATCTATTTATCTATCTATCTATTTACCAAGGTCTGGTTGAGAGGAAACTATAACCTAATGTCGCACAGTTCCTGAGAAATGACACAAAAAACCCCTGGTTGTTGGATAAAACGAGGTGTTGGATGAAACAGTTGTTGTAGAAAATAAATAATGAATGTTTCCAGTCGTGTAAAGGAAAGAATGTTTTCATTTGGTGACATATGGAATGTGCCATTCCACTCGGCTTCGACTCTCGGAATGGAACATTTGGAGTGGAACATTCCATCCGTCACCTCATGAAATTATTCTTACCATTGCACTCACAAACATTCATTTGTATCATTGTACAAGTATGCATACGTACATACAGTCGACTCTCGTTATAACAAACTCGTTCGGACCTAGCCAAATTGTTTGTTATATCAGAATTTTGTATTAAGAGGAACATCAGTCCCATTCATGGTGCACATACATTGTAAATGCACAGTAGGGACCAAGGCTTTATGTTTGTTATAACCAGAATTTTGTATTAACAGAGTTTATATTAACGAGAGTCGACTGTATTTGTAATAAATACCAGCCAGGCTCCACAGTGCAGGCCTACTTTCCTCAATTCTGCAAAATCCACAAAAAAAAACCTGCTTGTAGATCTTTTCGATCTTGGAGGGGTACTGGTAGGATTGAAACTGGCAGGTGCATGTAAGTTTCTTTTGTAGGGTTTGAATCGCTGTGTTTTGGTTATAAATCCTTGAAGCACATCATGTACATGTAAGTGTGCCATGAGCCAATTTCAGACGCCATAGGATTTGTAGATTGTACAATGTATTGTACTGTGTATTTATGTTAGCTGATAACAATTATAAAAAGACTGCAAACAAGTATTATGAAATTAAAGGGAATGTACATCATTGGCTTTTGCTGTAATTTTCAGAAATGAACTATTTGAGGGGTTAGTATAACAGATCAAATATTGTTACACTGAAATGTATGAAGTTTTGTGTTCAAAAATGCTGGAAAAACCAAGAAAAACAAAAATGTTCAAGTAGTCTGGTTCATTAACTCCACTAAAGATAAAATGGATCAATTTATACATATATGTAGATGCCGGAAAATTGTAAGGTACCGGGTAAGGGAACCATTCTAGCTGGCCTGCACCCGTTCATGAACATGTAACCAATAGCAAACAAAATTTGGACTGAAAAAGTGTAAAGTTGGAGCAGTAGTTGAAAAATAGTTGGGTTTTTCTAACGGTGGTCGGCCGACCACCATTGGAAATGTATACAAAAATACCATTTTCTTGAAAATGACTTCACACCAGGTGCCATAATTTTACAGGATGCTTGAGACTGTCATTTACCAACATCCTAGTAAGGTATTTCGTAAAAACTTGGTAGTTTTATTTTTCGATGTTTGCAAATGTTATATATTCCCTTTAAATCTATGTATCAGTACACTGTACATAGAAATTTGCAAAGTGACTGACTCTGTGTTCCTGCATTCTCATTGTACATACACGTACCGTATGCACAGTATATACATGTGCATACACGTACATGTACTGGGAAAAGTTCATTCCCCGAGTTCAAATTCCACCTGTATTTGGTCAGCCAATATAATCTCCTCTAGAGGTTGGTGACGGTCCTTTTATATTGTGTAATCTCTTGAGAGTTGCTGCACGTAAGCCCACCGGCCGGCGATTTCATCGTCACAGTGTGATTAGCTACGTGTACTTACTGGGTATTGATTTTTTTATGTGACTTTCTATGGTATGGAGGAAACTTTAGCAGGTAAAACGATTGTGATTTCTGATGTTATAAACATGTACTGATGGTAAAACTGGAAACAAAGAGTGTTCTGACAAAACAAACTAAAAGTACTGGTACTGGTACGTGGTTAAGGGCCCTGGATTCATGGTCTGTGGGTAAAGCTGCAGGTTGTGAGTTCGAGTCTAGCCTGGGGTCATGGTGTGTGTGCCCTTGGGCAAGGCACTTTGTCATTCATTGCTTCTCTTTACCCAGGAGTAAATGGGTACCTGTAAGGGCAGAGATAGTTATTGTGATTGAATTAGCTTCCTTGCTCTGAACAGGCAGCATCGAGCTGTATACATGTACATGTACTTCCCAGGGAGCTGAGATGGTATTTGGAATGTTTAATTGGCCCAATGATCAGGGGTAATAATAATGTAAAGCGCATTGATCTAATAGTTAAAAGCCCTATATAGAACCCGTTATTATTATCATTCACTGTGTCAGTGTGCAATTTGCAAAAAACAAAGTACATGTTCTGATATATGAATTGAACTATTGAAAATAACACTTAAAACAAATAAACGTATTAACCCTAACTCCCTAGGCTCTATTGCCTAGAAGCAGCCTGAATCCACGCAGAATCCTGACTCCCATACAGATTCAGAATCCATTAACCCTGACCGCCCCAACTCCATCAAAATCCGTCCTCCCATTTTGGTCGATTTTGGGGACTTGGTCCAGAAGTCCTGGCGTGACTACATGTAAATATTGATGGAGTATGATGGACTTGGGCCTAATAGCCTGAAGCAGTGCTAGGGGTATCCGATAGTTTTTGCCTAGCTTCCTGTACTGCTATTGTGATAAAAGCCATGTGTAGCAAGTCCATGAATGTCAACCAGTGCGTCAGTGGTGGATTCCACTGTATGTCGTGTACAGTTTTGTATTAGACACACAGTGATTGATGGATTTTGATGGACTTGGTCCAGTTCCTAGTAAAAGACGCTAGGGAGTTAGGGTTAAAAATGTAATTTTTTTTTCTCATTGCAGGTAGAATGGCAACTCCAGAAATGGCGGAGGCGGCCAGCAAGGTGGTGGCAGAGCCCATGTTCGGGGTGCTGGACATCTTACTGATGAGTGTCAGTCTTGGCATCGGGGTCTACTGGTTCTTCTTCAGGGGGAAGAAGACCTCGGAGCAGCCTTCCGTGGTCAAGAAGCTGTCTGTCGCGTAAGTTGACGTGCTGAGATAATTCTACTGTGTAGTTGGGTAGAAACAGCCAGAGTCACCGATTTTTATGACTTGAGTCGAGTCATTTTAAAGAAGTGACTCAAGTCGAGTCGAGTCATAAGGTCAAGAAGGTCGAGTCGAGTCGAGTCGAATCACAGTGTGTAGTCAAGTCAAGTTAAGTCAAGTATTTAGCTGGAGTCAATTCAAGTCACTAATATTTGAACACTATGCAATAAATAAACACAAGAGAGAAAGTTATTTTTTGGCTTTTTTAATTTTACATTCGGGCTACTTCTTGTACGTGTGGTGACACCACATTTGACTCGTAATAAAAAGGGGGTGCCAGCTGATCGCCATTCAACTAATGGGGACACTGATCAAACCATGTATGATGTATGTATACATTATTTGCGAACATTCTAATGTGACGTGAACAAAAAACGGCACCGGCGTAAGTCATTGCAAATATTTTTCGCAAAGTTTTGCTTTCATTTTTGGGACTCGAGTCTTATTAGCTGTCCCTCGAGTCGAGTCGAGTCTCCTGATGAGGGACTCGAGTCGAGTCGAGTCATTTGCTCGTAGTGACTCAAGTCGAGTCGAGTCAATTGCCCTTAGGGACTCGAGTCACCAACAATTTTGACTCAAGTCGGACTCGAGTTGAGTCATTGACTTGACTCATTACAACTCTGGAAACAGCAGCCAATTTTCACGAAACTTGGCATAAAACGAAGTGGAATAAATCCACTCGCGCCACATTTTATTGCATAAGTTGTGCAACATTTCACGTTGCACAACATTTCAGTTTAAAAAAATTTCACAAACGTTTTACAGCATGCAAGTCTGGTCTGATTTTCAAAGGCCCTCAGTCCTTCAAAATCCTCCGTTAAGCAAAGAGGATTTTGGAGGAAATAAGAAGGTTGGGTTGATTGTGTATAGAAAGGCTTATTTTTCAAAAGTTGCTCTGGTTGCGTGCGAGTTATGTTTACTTTTTGTTGGGGGGGGGGGGGGGGGGAGGGAGAAAACAAACATGACAGATTGTGCATGGATCCTGCCTTCTTCAATCCAACAAATCTTCCAAACTTCCTGCCGGATTATTAACGGATTTGGGAGAGTTAGGGTCAGTTTGACATATTCGTGTATTTCCTCTTTTAAATGTAGACCAACGTTAACAAGAAGCAGCAACGTGGGATTCATCGCAAAAATGAAGTCATCGGTAAGTTTTCTTTGTTTGTGTCACTCCCACTGACGTGCAAGTATATTTACCCCGCAAAACATGTCCTGTACAATAGCTGTACGTTGTATTTTCAGAGGGCGTAAGCTCAGATCTTATATCAGCTAAATATTAAGGACTATTGCCAAATTGGACTATTCCAAGGTGGCCCACTGCTAACCATGTACATGTACATGCGCACGTGTGATAAGTTGACTTTTGTGCAGTGAACTTTCCAGAATAGTCCTCCAAAATTAACTTGGCAATGGCCCTTTTGAGTATTTTTGGTACTTTGCCCTGCACTCTGTGTGATATAATGATGAACTTTGTGCATTGGGATACGTGTTTCCAAAAATACCATTACTATACAACCTGTACCTTATTGTGCATATATAGTGAATGAAATTAATGTAGTCTTACAATTAAATTGCACGTACATTGTACTAAAACACAGTATGTGTATTGTACATTCACGAACAGTGCACTTTTTGCTTAAGTTTTTATGACACCAATATATGAATAGAAGTATTTTCCTTATTAAACCTAAATTTATTTAAGTCATTTGAACATTGTGTTTCACAAACTGGGTATGCACGAAAAATGGAGGAACAAAGTTTTTTCCTATCGTAAAAAAAATAAAACAAATCAGTCAGTATTGAAAGCAAAACATACTGAATAAAATTTGAATAAAAGCCCACCACAGGATCCCCCCCCCTAAAAAATTAAGAAAATAAAACAAACCCTCTTAAAAAAAAATAATGCTCAAAAAAAAAAATCGGTTGGGCCTGCTTTCATCAAGTCTGTGTACACCATTTGAAATGTTCCTGTAGATGTTTTGTTATTAGAAAGCATTTATGAGTGTTTCCTACAGGAAAATGAACTGCCTATATTGTATCAACCCTAGGTACCGGGTTTATACCCTGGTAGGTTGTACCTTTCTAAAGTCTCTTTAAACTAACTCCTGTATTTTTTTCCTCCTCTGTTTGCTTACAGGGCAAAAACTTGGTAGTGTTTTACGGATCGCAGACGGGAACCGGCGAGGAGTTTGCGACACGGTTATCCAAAGATGCCCTTCGGTTTGGCATGAAGGGCATGATAGCAGACCCCGAAGAGTGCGAAATGGTAAGGGGGTGGGGGCGTTTTGGTATTAAAATGTGTATCAAAGTCTGTCATAAGCCAATTTGGCTTGTCAGGCCGGCGTTTATCTCTGAGTTTCTTGGCATAAAACGACTGAAATTTTTTCGTTTTTGTTTCAAAACACCCGTTTATCATATTGCTGATATATTTCATCATTTTGGAAGACTTTAATTTCGACACTTGGACATTGCGAATGTTCCACGTGTGCCATTATGCCATTTTGTTTTGTTTTTCGCATGACATCTGAAACGGAATTATTCATATGTGACACTTTTTTCGATGAGTTTTTTAGTTTGTTTCATATAACATTTGTCTTTATTGATACCAAATGCCTTTTTTTTTCCCTTCAGTTTTGGAATTGTTTTTTATTTCTACTTTTTGTGTGTGTACGAAAAGTGTTTGTTGGAATTCAGTTTTTGATTTTTTTGTATATGTTACTCATATGTTTTTATTAATATTTTTATTCCTCAGTTAGTTTTTGTACGATTCGCACTGTAAACACCGTTTTTAATTAGGATTTCATCAAAAAGTTTTCCTTATTAATGGTCCTGAACTGAAAAAAACAAATGCGACATTTCATAGTTCATTTTGAAGCTAAAGACATGGTGCTCAGCGTTAACATAGTTATGTAGTTATCACAGGGGTGTGAAATTTCAGCTTTAAAGCTGATTTCAGCTTTTTTGTTTTGGATTTCATTTTTTTTCCAGCTTTTTTCCCTGACTTGCTGTGCACAAAAATATAGGAGATTTCCAAAGTTCAGCTTTTTTTTACACATTTTTCAGCTGCTTTCAGCTTTTTTTTTATCAGCGATCACTCACACCCCTGTTATCACTTGATAAAATTCAATAATAAAGGCCACAAAATATAGGATCATGATTATTCAAAAATACGATTAGCTGACTTGACGGAATTAGACACCAGATCAATAGCAGAGATCTGAAAATTTGATAGCCACCGCACGCAGTGAAGCAACGAATCTGTCCGGGACTTTGTTGACGCAAGCATTCATGGTATTCTCACCCTTATCACGCATCTAACAAAGACTTTGGCGCAGTCGTTAATCCTTCTCTCTAGGATCTGTGATCTGCTTGAAAGCCGGCAGATGGGCAGAATAAAAACAAACTTGTTTTTACTGGCATCACTCCACGTACTAAAAAAATACCTTGTGTGGGACAAAAGTACCGGATGCTGGTACCTGTACGTTACACCTGCCGTAATTAGTCACTTACCGGTACGTAGGCTGAAAATAAAGTGCCAAGTGTTTACCTTATAACATTTATCCCATATACGTACATCCTTCTTTTTTTTTTTTTTTTTTTTCTTTTTTTAACAGCTCGCAACGCCATAATGAATTTCAATGTATGTTTTTTATATACAAATGACACTAAAGAATTATATTCTATTCTATTCTAAAAAAAAAAAAGACAATAAAATAATTGATAGGATACAGGACCAGCAGCTACCAGTAACTCTGACTGCAGGGTGTCTTTAAAACAAATCTGAATTCTCAAAGCCCCCTCTTTTTCACTGCTTTAAAAAAAAAAAAAATTCGCAAATATTGAAACATTTGTGGAGAGTATCAATAGTTCATTAGCTTTTCACCAACGAAAAAAAATCTGTCTAATCGGGTAAATATTTATTGAGTTATGGCCAATTTAGTGCCGATTATGCAATCTGCCCGCGGTGTCAATTAGAATGAACAGTTTCGCAGGGAGTTTAATGCAGTTGCCAGCTGTGGTATGCCGTGGCACAGGGCTAGTGGGTAGTTCCACAGCTGCTGCTTTTGTGCAGTCCTGCTACCACACAAAGGCTGTGCAGTCATGCGGGCCACTTGCTCTATGTGTGGAGGAATGTCCCCATTACACCCCGTCCTTAAGGGGTTAAGTACTGGACCATGTCTGCCAAAATCCATCACTGACCCTGCTTCACATAATGCTTTAGGACCAAATGCGCTGAAATCCACCACAAGACCACCACTACCATGACTACTATAGGTGGATTTGGATGGACTTGGTACTCGTGGCTTGCCTACCAAAATCCCCAAAATGGGGGATGGATTTTTTGTTGGATTTGGGAAGATTTTAGGGTTAAAGTACCAAGTAAGCTTTCAACAATAATTTTGTCTGTTACGTTTTGGATAGCTGCGAAAGATCTACTTTTACTCTACCTTCAATTTATCATAATTTTACAGGAGGACCTGGCCCAGCTGACGGAAGTAGAGAACTCCATGGCCATCTTCTGTATGGCCACGTACGGCGAAGGTGACCCGACCGACAACGCGCAAGAGTTCTATGATTGGCTGCAGGAGGGATCAGTAGGGCTGGCCGGCCTCAGATACGCTGTGAGTATCGCTCGTGATCAGAGTACCCTGTTTCTCATAATCAGAGTATCGCCAGACATTTCATGTAATTAGATTTTCCAAAAGTGTTTTGTCATATATCCAAGTTTCCTAATGCTAACCCCCTAGGCCTTTTTGGCTAGGAACCATCCTCAATCCTGCAAAATCCTCCAATTGCCACCATGTGAAACATTGGATTCAGCCTCAGTCCTCCAAAATCATCCATGGAGGGGTGACCATTACCGCAATCCTTCACAATAATCTTCCAACAATCACTGTTAATGGGTTGAGGCAGCGCCGATGACATTCAGAAGCAGTGCGGATGATATCGAGCATAATGCAGGGCTCAATTTTATGCAGGGCTGAACATAAACAATGCAGGAAATAGCATACGAGCTTGACATAATGCATCCTCCAAAATCAACCGATGCTTTTTTGTCATTCAGACTCAATCCTCCAAAATCCTCCAAAACAGCCTGGAAGATTTTGGAGGATTGAGTAGGGTTAGGAATAATATTGTAGTGCATGTGTACAATGTAGTCGAACAATTACGTAGAGCTGTTATGTATCAATTTATACTCATACTGCCCTAACACATTGGTACAATACATTTGTACATACAAAAAACCGGGGACTAAAATCTTTACTCTCAATTCTTTAAAGGTACATGTGTATACATGTAGGATCATTTGTATTTATCCCAAAAGTAACTGAATTATTGTCAAAAAACTTACTTACATTGTACCGGTAGATGAAAGATCATACCCCAAGAAATTCTTCCGTTTTAGTTTGCTGTCATTTATAAGAAATCAAGAATTGTATGAGATTTCCAACGATCTGTCAATTGACTGATTTTCGGACATAAAGAGTTGACAGAATTGTGTTTCGTGATCAAAAGGTTGCGCGTGCTTTTTCACTGTTTTCTTTAGAAGTGTAATAGCCACCGAGTTCAAATTTCAGCAAGTTAGGTTTCGAAAAATTCTTCTTTGGATTTTGAGTGGTGTCATTATTGGAAATAAACAAAACGCATAAAAAGCAAATGATTCTACCAGTATTTGCCTTTAATTTTCGTTACCAGAGTTTAAGGATGAAGCTTAACCAATGGTCTTTAGAGCTTACAGAATGTACATATCTCTAGCTAAAGGCACCACGTTGTGATTATTTTTCATGTGTGCCAACAGGTCTTTGGCTTAGGGAACAAGACTTACGAGCACTACAATGCCATGGGCATCTATGTGGACAAACGCTTGGAGGATCTAGGAGCCGAGAGAATCTATGATCTGGGATTGGGTGACGATGACGGCAAGTAAGTATTGCGCAAATTTCCATTCCTCTGAAATATTGAAAAACTTTCAGACATCCCTTTTGGGGTTACGATTTTTGTAATGTGCATTTTTTGAAACATTCAAAAAGTTGCATGCTCTTCCTGAAAACTGAGGGCGCTGTTGCTGTTTAGGGATTTTCTGGTCAACTTGTGAACCCAAGATGTTGCTCCTTGAAAAGGTGTCTGAGAAAAATTTGTTACAAGATTAATTATCTGTATAATCAGTTGCTGCAGTAGCAATGAATCACCAAAAGAGAAAAATTTACGAAATCAAACAATTAAAAACTTGTCTGGCAACTTTTGCAAGTGCATGTTAAACTTGATCAGCACAATTTGAATATTTGAATGTTTGGTCAAGTCCAAGTTAGAATATTCGGAGATACCGTAAAGTGACAATTTTGTTCTGATACTGAACAACTCCAAATGGTATTGTTAAAATACTGAAAACCCGGTATGGAATTTCAATACTGCAGTATTCCTACTAAAATGTGGCCAGATGTGTAAAAAAGCCCCTGTAAAAAAAAAAAAAGAAGAAAAAAGAAACCGCTTAGCTCGATCTGCACTTTTTGGATATTTGTTTAAATTCTTAATTCTTATTTAATCTAAAATAAGATGAATATCGTGCATCTGACACCACCATGTGTCTTATTTTATTTTGACAACATAGCAATATGGCCAAAAAAGTACCTTGTCATACCAAATACTACACAGAGTATTTTGTGATGATAAATCGTGGACTCTTAAAATCCCATACTATGCAAGCCTAGCTCGCAGGCAAATTTGAGAGACTGCTGGTGTTGCGTTTTGGGAGAAAATTATGCAAATTGACAAGATAACAGGGCTTGAAAAAAAAATGTACTGGTCACGCTGGTACCTGCACTTCAGTTAAATTGTGTAAGTCTGCCATTCAAGTCATGTTCATATGATGCCAACTTCAACATGTTCAAGTGTTAAACCAACAGCAGGCGACACAGGTACGCACCCAGGGCATTGTGTAGATTTCGGGCAAAGGTCGCCGCCAGAACAATAACACCGAAACGTTTAACCCGAGCTGGAAAGGACGGTGAACTTCGGCAGATAATAAACACTTCTGCTGCTTGAACCTGATGCCCATTTATCCTGTGAAAGAATTTTCAGCAATTTAAAAGAAATACAAAACATTGTTTGATAATGATATGCGATAGTGATTCAATTGATAAGCAAGTGCACTTTTGAACTTTAGCACAATGTATCTAAGCTGCTTTTGAGTGATTTTTTTTAGAAAAAAAAATATTATATGAAATATTGATTGCAGTTTCCCGTGCTGCAGGTACAGTATTTATCAGGCTTTGCAGTCGAGGGTTATGGCGTCTGCCATAGTACGCAAGTGGGTCATTCCGTGTCAAATCACCCCCCAAAAATTGGAAGTTTAAACCCCACCCCCTTCAAATTGGTTATTATTTCATGTATGGGGGTAATTTGGGCTGAAAATACTGAAATTTGTAGTTTAAAGGGAAAAACCAACATTTGCAAACATCAAAAAATAAAACTACCAAATCATTTTGAAATACCTTGCTGGACTGTTAGTGAATGACAGTGTAAAGCATCCTGTAAAATCATGGCACCTGATATACTGTCATTTTCAAGAAAAGTGGTATTTTTGTATCGATTTCGGCCGACCAGCGTTGGGAAAAACTGGCTTTTTTTCAAATACTGGCCCCAATTGACCATCGCACTTGTTTGCAATCGATTACACACCTATGAACGGGTACAAGCCGGCTAGACTGGTTCCCTGACCTTACAATTCCCCAATGTATGTAAACTGCTCTGTTTCTTCTTATATGGAGTCAGGGAACCAGACTACAGGAAAATGATTGTTTTTCTTGGTTTTTACAGCATTTTCGAACCCAAAACCTCAAAAAAGTCAGTGTAACTGTATTTGCTATATATTTCCAACCCCCCAATTCCATCCATTTCTGAAAATTACAGCAAAAGCAAATGATGTATATTCCCTTTAATTCGTGTATGGGGATAATTCAGGCTGAAAATGCTGAATATTTAGCAGTTTTAGCGCCAACGAACTTATGGTTTTCACGCTACTTCCTGCCATTTTTTGCCGATTTTGGCCAAAATCAACACACATGTACATGTATTTCCATAACCTGTTGCCAAACGTTTTGATATTGGTTCTTTCAGAAAGGTAACATCATACAGAATCCAGCTTTACCATTGTATTTTGTGTCAGAGCAATTTGAAATCCGATGACCTTTTGACCTTACACCCCAACATGTTTTCTACAAAATATCCATAAATTTGCTGGTATGATATATTTTTTATTTGCCTTCCACCTGAAAGTTGGCATACTTGTTGCAAAAATGGTATATTCTTATGCAATGTACATGTACTACACACATGTACACGTATGTCTGTACATCTTCATAAACGTACCTGGGGAGTAGCCTTTCGGTGGATTGATATCCAATCGGGGGAAGGGGGGGGGGGAGGGACTATAAATGTCCTTGTTTGTTTCAGGATGAAAGCTGCCAACATTTGTATCTTGCAATCAGGGAGATTTTGTACAATAATCAGGGAGATGTTTAGAAATACAGTCAATATAACAGGGAAACAGTTTCCATAATCAGGGAGATTTTCAAATTTGTTCATCAGAAAGTGGAAAGATTGGTTTATTTTCAGGGAACTTTCTGCAGAATCAGGGAGAGTTGGCAGCTCTTACCATATATGTGACCCACTCCGCAAAAATGAGTCTGTTGTGGCAAAACTGACATTTTGAGTTAACTACATTAATAAAATGGGAATGAAATAAGCTTTCATTTGGTATATCACGGACCTCTCTAGGACATTTGGTTGCATTGTTGTGCTTGTTTCATTCTGTAAAGTTTTTGCAAAGCTAGAAGTGTCTCAATGGAGAAAAAAGGCTTTGAAAAATGACAAATACACTGTAACTAACCAGGAAAAGCACCAAAGATTCATAGTTTTTTTTCTTTTTCTTACAATATTTACATTTCTGTGTAAGATATTTGAACTAAAACTATCAAACAACCAAAATAAAACAAAAACAAAAAAATCCAAATTTTGAGCAAATTTTTACTGTTTCCATTTCAAAATGACAAAAGCTTGAATTCAAATTATGCGACATCAGACTCATTTTTGCAGAGCGGGTCACATATTGGCTTGGGACAGACGTCACTAAATGTCGCAAGACATCAGAGTAAACTAGAGTAACTTCGTTCTTTTACTTTTAACAGTGTCGCCATGAATAATAACTCATACCCAAACAAGTGATACACTAAAAACAGGCGAATTTGTGTGTATTAAATCCACAACCTCCTGGTTGTTGGCTGGCGGAGAGAGCTGGGCAGTGCTGTTGTATAGGATTACCACGAAATGGTTCCGGCTTAGTGGGCACACAAGATACATGAAAAGACTTGCAGTGAATAGCCTTTCTAAATCAATTCGGGCGATTCACAATGCAGTGCGCCACCAAGAGTTTGCCACGGAGAGTTCATTTTTCCCAGTGCATTGTGGGAGATGGTCGACAAATTCGCAGCTTGGGACATTTGAAATTGTTAGTTTTTCCGGTCAGTTGTTTGGTAAGCGTATGATTCGAGTATCTGTTTGCCCTTTTCTTTTTCTTTTTATCAATATGGTGTTTTTTTGTAAGATGACAGAACCCTATGCCCCAATCTATAACAAATTAGCTCAAGTTGTCTACTGACACTCATTCAAATGGGCCATGTTTTGTCGACCGTAAACTTGAAAAATAGACTCTCCATGGCAAACTCTTGGTGGCGCACTGCGTTGTGAATCGCCCGAATTGAGTTGAACTTTGTGCGCTCTGGGACCAGCTCTAATGGACTTGCCTTGTTTGTTTTTTAACTAGTGAAAAAGAAAAAGGCAATTACAATGTTGTCGAAAACGTATGAAGGGAAATCTTTTGAATCTTGTTTGCAGTATGGAAGAAGACTTTGTTACATGGAGGGAGCAGTTCTGGCCAGCGGTCTGTCAACGATTCGGTGTTCAGGCCACAGGAGACGAATCAAGGTATACTCTCATGAGTTTGGATTTCACACCCCAAACAAGCCAAACCCCCAACCCTTGCATGTTTTATTTTTAACATCAGTTTTACTTCTGTGATTTCAGACCTTACCCCCTTTTCTGAAAGGGGCACGTCATCCTAAAATCACCCAAATTTGTATGTGTACGATTGTTAACTTATCATATTTTAAAGGGACCGGCTAAAAGGATGTAACCTTTTTATGTGTCGCACTGTTCCTGAGAAAAGACGGAAAAACCTGGTTGTTTACAAAATGCATTTCTGGCGCGACGGACACTTTGTGGCATAAGCATACGTATTCCAGGCGTGAAATGTCCGTGTCCATGACGTCAGACTATTCAATGCAGGGTACCATCGTAGAGTTTATGCACACATTATGTACATGTATGTTGTTTTTTGCACATACGCAGCGTGCGATGCACTGGTAGAACATGTGTGACTGAAATCTCGACTAGCACCAAACGGGTCAATTTTTGAGAGTCAAAATTTTGACCCCATGGAATTCGTTCCAGCAAGAATAACTGTGGATTTAATAATGATAATTTTTGGTTTGTGTTTGTTTTGTTTAGTATCCGTACGTATGCACTCAGAATTGAGGACTTCCTACCAGAGAAGGTTTTCACCGGTGAGGTGGCAAGGCTAGGATCCTTCCGGACTCAGAAACGGTGAGTCAGTCTTACTTGTCCCCTCGTTTGGACTAAATCCTTCCCCTAAGAAAATGGCGATCATTAAAAATTTTGCTTGTTGAAAGTTTACCCTTGAAAAAATTGATTTATTAATAGAGGAAATTGTTTAACCCTAACAGAACTCAACCCATCAAACCCCAACGGCATGTTTTGTTGGAATCTGTCAGGATGGGTACAGTACCCCTAAACTGACAGTCTTTTACATTGGGTTGGCACACCTCCAGAATCAAAGTCAGAAATATGTGTGTGTGCAGTTTCCCATATGGCGTTGGAATTTGCCGGGATGGGTACTGTTCCTAGTAAATCATGCCAAGGAGTTAGGGTTTATATGATGAAGAGTACAGGGGGGGGGGATACTTGTGCACAGAGCCGATATCAAACATTAAAAAGATGGGAAACCATGACATGATTCATTCACTTGATGATTTTTTTTGGGGTACTTTCCAGGCCGTTTGATTCCAAGAATCCCTACCTGGCTCCGGTCAAAGTCAACAGGGAGCTTCACAAGGGAGGCGAGAGGTCCTGCATGCACATTGAGTTCGACATCACCGACTCCAAGATCAGGTGAGAAGGAGTTGATTAAATTGATCAGAAATCGATCAGATCAATGTAAGTTTGCCAGTGTTTCCAACATAATATGAGAACAAGCTAATATGCTTTGTAAAGTCACCTCCTTCAAAGGTCAGGCTCCTTCCCATTTTCATGCGCATCCTTAACCAGTTCGCGTCGGAGGACGTGATTACACGCACTGGCTTTTTCTTTCCGGCTGACATATCAAGACATCAAGATTGCCTCAACTCACCCCAGGGTGACGTCTAAACATGCTAATCCCTTGTGTCTTTTGTACACACACACAAAGTCTGTGATGTCTGTGAAGGCGGACCGTGTATGTTGATCTTGAATTGGCCGTTGTGCACAGCCTATTGTTGTACAATTTACGCTCCAGTGCACGCCCCGGAGTATTGAAACATGAGGTTTCGGCAAGAAATATCGTACAAATACTGTTGAAGTGACCCTTGTGAATCAGAATTTGTGGCGTTCGGCTGTACATGTATGAAGTTGGCTGGAAAATTGTGCTTTTTGCATGAAGTGTTTAAACTCCCCAACCTTTCATAAATTCCAAGTCGGTAACAGTGCCTACTTAACATCTTTTTTTCCCCTTTAGGTACGAAGCCGGTGACCATGTGGCTGTCTTCCCCATCAACGACTCAGCCCTGGTTGACAGGATAGCAGAACTCTTAGGAGCAGACTTGGACGTTGTCATGAGCTTGGATAACCTAGACGGTAAATCCAAATTCACTGTAACTCCCCTTTGGATATATTTTTTTGCTTGAATTGTCCTGAATCCCCCAAATTGACCATTGTACTTCAGCCTATTGGGCCCGAGCCTATCCGCTCCGTTCACAAGTACCCCCTCACCGGCAAAGAAAGTACAGTTGGGGGTGACCAACCGACGCCATTTTGCCTGACTGCAATTTTGCTGCGACGCGCGGCCGTACCACTGCGTGTACATAGTACAAATCCCCTGGTGTACGTGCGTCACACACAAAGTACAAGGAACGTTGCGCTTCAACCAGCTAAATGTCCCGCCCATGGGACATTGTTGCTAGGTAAAAGGGCGCCCTCTTTTTTCGCGCACGGAGCCTATTGGGCCCATTCTTTGTATTGCAACTTTGTACTGCCAAACAATAACTCTGTTCTCGCGGAGTGGGCTGGTTCAAGCCCCACATTCAGTATCGATAATGTATGGACCGGGAGCCAATTTGCTCAAAACTGTAAACAACAAAAAAACATTTCACAGGGTTGCAGACATCAAAAAAAGGAAAAAAGAGGGTTTTTGGTTGAAAAAACATTCAAGTTGAAAATTTATTAATAGAAAAAACCCAAAAACATCAAATTTGTTGAAGAGCACGGAGAAACACAACTTGAAGTATGTTTGGTCTGGTACCCTGTCTCATACAGAGGAAGCAAGCAAGAAGCACCCGTTCCCCTGCCCCTGTTCCTACCGCACGGCATTCACCCACTACCTGGATATCACCTCCGTGCCTCGCACCAACGTACTCAAGGACATCGCCGAGTATGCCTCGGATCCCAAGGACAAGGAATTCCTGCTGCTGCTGTCATCTGCTACACCGGAGGGCAAGGTATGGAACTCCCTGAATGGGAGACTGTTTAACTCTAACCCTGTCCGCTCTGTTCACAAGTACCCCCTCACCGGCAAAGGAAGTACAGTTGGGGGTGACCGACCGACGCCATCTTGCCTGACTGCAGTTCATTTGCCGCGAAGCGCGGCCACACTGCGTGTAAATAGTACAAATCCCCTGGTGTACGTGCGTCACACACAAGGAACGGTGCGCGTCAACCAGCGAAATGTCCCGCCCATGGAACATCGTTGTTAGGTGAAAGTTGCTCTCTTTTGGTAGCGCACGAAGCTCCTAGGCCCTTTGGCTAGAAATCATCCTCAATCCAGCCAAATCCTCTAATTCGGGTGATTCACAATGCAGTGCGCCACCAAGAGTTTGCCATTGAGAGTCCATTTTTCAAGTTTACGGTCAACTATTTGAACGAGTGTCAGTAGACAACTTAAGCTAATTTGTTATAGATTGGGGAATAGCGTTCTGCCGCCATACAACAAAACACCATATTGATAAAAGAACAGAAATGGGCAAACAGATACTACTACAAATGGGAATTTACTTACCGAAAAAAAAATGACATTTTCAAATTTCCGCCTTGGGAATTTGTCAACCATCTCCCACAATGCACTGGGGAAAATGAACTCTCCGTGGCAAACTCTTGGTGGCGCACTGCATTGAGAATCACCTGAATTAAAAAAAAATTGAAAAAATTGAAATCAGCCTCAATCCTCCAAAATCATCCGTTATTTATTGAATTTGTTGAGTGGAGGGGTGACCACTGCCTCAATCCTTCAGAATCCTCCAACGAAACACTGTTAATGGTTTGAGGCAGTGCCAACAACATTCAGAAGCAGTGCGGATGATATCGAGCATAATGAAAACCCCAGTTATGCAAGGCTGAACATAAACAAAGCAGGGTACAGCCTACGAACTTGACACAATCCTCCAAAATCAACAACCCCTTTTTTTGCCATTTAGATTCAATCTGCCAAAAGCCTAAAAAAAAACGGCCTGGAGGATTTTAAAGGATTGGGGAGGGTTAGGGTTAATGGGTAGTAGGTAGCATTTGCAAAAATCTAAAATTGTCAAATTACTATAAAGGTGTTAGAGGCTAGAATAATGAATGTATTTCATTTTCGGTGAAGTGAATTTGTATATTTCCTAAGGAATTCATATGGAAAATTTAATGACAGATTTCTTGATTATATAAAAAAAAAATTCCAAAGCCGGAAATTGGGAACAGAAAATACCTATAACATCGTCAAGAGTTTGTCCAATTCTAAAATTCAGTAAGCTCAAAATCCAAGTTTAAAAAAAATTGACCGAGTGACTGTTTTGTGCTGGAGGGTCACATACCGTACATGTCTCAACAACATTTAAAGGGAATGTACATCATTGGCTTTTGCTGTAATTTTCAGAAATGAACTATTTGAGAGGTTAGTATAATAGATCAAATATTGTTACACTGTCATTTTTGAAGTTTGGTGTTCGAAAAGGTTGGAAAAACCAAGAAAAACAAAAATGTTCAAGTAGTCTGGTTCCCTGACTCCACAAAAGATAAAATGGGTCTATTTATAGATGATGAAAAATTGTAAGGCAAGGGAACCAGTCTAGCTGGCCTGCACCCATTCATGAACATGTAACCAATAGCAAACAAAATTTGGACTGAAAAAAATGGTAAATTTGGAGCAGTAGTTGAAAAATAGTTAGGTTTTTCCAACGCTGGTCGGCCGACCAAAAATACCATTTTCTTGAAAATGACTTTACACCAGGTGCCATAATTTTACAAGATGCTTGAGACTGTCATTTACCAACATCCTAGTAAGGTATTTCGTAAAAACTTGGTAGTTTTATTTTTCGATGTTTGCAAATGTTGTATATTCCCTTTAAACAAAATCTGAACAGATTTCTTCTAAATTTTTTTCACATGGTTTGCAGAAAGAGTACAGCGAATGGGTGATGCATGACCATCGCAGCATCGTGGCCATCCTGGAAGATCTGCCTTCCCTCAAACCCCCCCTGGATCACCTGTGTGAGCTCTTACCACGCCTGCATGCCCGCTACTACTCCATCTCCTCCTCACCAAAGGTAGGCAGTTCCTCCCCCTGGTTTTTCAATGGCAGGATTTGCTTCACATCCCGTATTGGTTGCAGTTGGAGATCCTGTCACTATTTCATGTTTGTTTTTTGTGTCGATAGGCAAAGTAAGTTATGTAGTGATCGGGTTTGGTGTGTTTAATTTGTTCATGCACTTTCTCCAGCTTTTTAATCAATTTTTTGTTGGGGGTCGTCCTAAAGTTTTATCTTACTTTCATGTAGTTGTATTTGGTGAAGATGTGCTTCGTTAACTTAAACCACTTTGTGCCAGGTTTATTTTTGCCGATTTCGAAATTTTCAAATGGCAAAATTTCTGAGCCAACTTCTGATATACAGCCAAACGCCACAAATACTGTTTCGCAAGAGTGATTTCAACTGTATTTGTACGATATTTCTTGCCGAAACCTCATGCATGTACATGTATGTTTCAATACTCTTGGGTGTGCACTGGAGCGTAAATTGTACAATAGGCCATGCAAAATGGCCCACCGGCGGTCAGCACACGGTCCGCCTCCACAGACTACATGGACTTTGTGTGTGTGTACAAAAGGCACGAGGGATTAGCGTGTTTAGACATCACCCGGAGGCAAGTCCAGGCAATCTTGACGTCTTAACCCGTCAGCCGGGCCTGTGCACAAAAACAGCCAGTGCATGTTATCACGACCTCCGGCGTGAACTTGTTAAGTCACCTTGATAAATCTCTATTTTTCTACCCTGTTTGTGATATCGCAGATATACAAAAGGGAGGGTGCGATTTGGTGCGGGTAGCTTGAAGTAAATTTCAATTGTTTGTACCATACCAAAATGTCAACTGCCTGTTTTGTCCACCATATCTCATAAAAAGGATTTTGTTGTTTTAAAAGAAGTTTTTTGGTCCAGGTTTTTACTTTTACGCACCCTTGTTCCTTGGATTTGTTTCTCATAGCTGCACCCGACTAGCATCCACATCACGGCAGTGCTGACCCGCTACACCACCCGCGTGGGCCGGCAGGTCAACGGTGTGGCCACCTCCTGGCTCAAGGGCAAGGTGCCCAACGGCCCCCAGAGCATGCCCAACGTGCCCATCTACGTCCGCAAGTCCCAGTTCCGCCTCCCGTTCAAGCCGGCCACGCCCGTCATCATGGTCGGGCCCGGCACGGGCCTGGCCCCCTTCAGGGGTTTCATTGAGGAGCGATACCACGCCAAGAAGGAAGGTGAGAGCTGGATTGCAGGGGTGGGATGGTGCTTGCGTAAATAAGGGGTGGGCCTTGGTTGGGGCTTGGGTGGAAGCTGGATGGAGAAGGAGGGGGCCTGGCTGGGGACTGCCCCCCTTCAGGGGACTCGTGCAGGAGCGATACACATGCAAAGAACGGAGGTTAGGGTAGTGGGCGGGGTAGGGGTGGGGCTTTTGTAAATAAGGGGTGGGCCTTGGTTGGGGCTTGGGTGGAAGCTGGATGGAGGAGGAGGGGGCCTGGCTTGGGACTGCCCCCCTTCAGGGGACTCGTGCAGGAGCGATACACATGCAAAGAACAGAGTTTAGGGGTAGTGGGCGGGGTAGGGGTGGGGCTTGGGTAAATAAGGGGTGGGGTTTGCGTGAAAGTTGGATGGAGAAGGGGTGGGCCTTGCATGGGACTGGCCCCCATCAGGTGATACATTTAGGAGTAATACACATGCCAAGAACGGAGGTGAGGGGTAGTGGGTGAATTAGTGTCCAAGCTTTGGAGGAAGTAGGATGGAGAAGGGGTGGGACTGGCCCCATTCAGGAGGGGTGGGACTGGCCCCATTCAGGAGGGGTGGGACTGGCCCCATTCAGGGGATTCATTAAGGAGTGATACACACTCCAAGAAAGGAGGTGAAGGATAGTGTACAAGCATTACATTCACTGTGTGGACTTCCGAAGAAAAGATGTCCACATAAACCAGGTAGCAGCGACGTTGTGTGGACTTGCCCACGTCCACACAAGGTTTCCCCCTCTCTGGAAAACAGGTTTTGAGCTATTTTTAGGTTAGGTTTATCAGTGGCAAAATGAAGAGAAACACTAAAGGGAATCAGAGAAAAAAAATCTGGGTTGAAAGAGTTTTCACAGTGTGAGTAAAATGATTTTTTTTTCACAGGTTTTTCTTAACATAACAAAAACAAAAGAATGTCCACACTAGGTATGTAACGTAAACATGTATGCGTTAGGTAGGGATGGTGCTGGGGTGAATAAGAAGGGGTGGGGCTTGGGCCAGTTGGGGTGGGGTTTGGGCGAATATAGGGTGGGGATTTGGTGGAGCTCAGGCAAATAAAAGGAGTGGTTTGATACGAGCTCGGCACCCTCTCAAGGAGAACACTCAACATGAATATTTCTGTTACAATGGTTACATTCTCTCTTGGATCTGACAGGCAAAGTTCTGGGCGAGACTGTCTTGTTCTTTGGCTGCCGTAATCGCGATCATGACTACATCTACGAGGACGAGCTGAAGGAATACCAGGAGAACCAAACCCTGTCGGCGGTCTACGTCGCGTTCTCCCGGGAACAGGCTGAGAAGCAGTACGTCCAGCACATCATGATGCAGAAGAAGGAGAAGATCTGGGAACTCCTGGAACAGGGCGGACACATCTACGTCTGCGGGTAAGCTGATGTAGGATCGTTTGCAAACACTCTAAAACGAAACTGCCAAAATATTATGAAATAGTCTACTTGATTGTAAGTAACTAATACAATGTAGTACGAAACATCCTGTGAAATCATTGAGCCTGGTGTGCTGGCATTCTCGAGAACATTTTGTATCGGTACTAAGGATTGCTAGGACCTAACCATCACTGAGAACAAACAGTTGTCTCAAATACTACATTTGTTCAACGGCCGCAAGTCAGCTGTTGACTTATTGCGTACGCACAGGTACACTGGGTGTGTGTATGTATTACTTTCCGAAGACAGAGCCGGCACTCTGGAAACTCCCTGTGACCTATGGGTTCTGCAAACTGCACGTTGACGATTGAAAAAGAACAGTGTGTTTTTTTCGCAGTTTTTTCTCCAGCACCAGTGGACACAATACCATGCAGGAGAGTTTCCAGACTTCTCGTCTGAATGCAGACTTTTTGATTCTGAGAAGAAATTATCTGTATAGAAACTTAACGTGTCTTCAGACTTTTTTGTTGTTGAATTGGCAATCTCACCCCTGCAATACATCGACCAGCCCAGTGGAAGGATGTCTGCTGTAATAAATTGGTCCATTTGAAAAAATTGTGACAAATGTAAACGATCCTTTATCCTTCAACATTTAAATAATGAAAGGTTTGCGGAAACACCATGTGCGAATAATTTCTCAACTAAGAGAATGGTTCTGAAAAGAACCAGAGGTATAAACTCGACGTTCCGGTCAGTATGCTCTGACCGTCTTCAGGAGAGTGCCTAAACTCTAAGAAAGTGAATACTTAAGTAGCAAGAGGCGAAATCAATGAAGTGTGAAGTTGCATTCTGTGAGGATGCCAAGTAGACAGGATCCTAGAGCAAGCTTAGTGCCCACTGAAGTGGAACAGTAGGGTTGCAGTGTCAGTAGAGGGAGGACCTAGGGTATAGGAGACCCATCAGTCTAAGGTGGTAGCTGAGGACCTAGGGTATAGGAGACCCATCAGTCTGGAGAAGTGGGAGCCAGATGTCGTTGAGGTGAAACCCGATGTCTTGCGGAACTGTGTTGGCTTGCGGATCTCGATGGCTTCCCGTCTGCGTCTTGGATGGCAGAACTGGATCGGTGCGATGAGTTCGGCCGCATCCCAATCAACTTTGTGGTTGTTGATGTGGGAATGTTTGACAATGGCCGATTTGTCAAAATCCTCTCGCCGTCCATGTGCTCTGTGTTCCTTGAGCCTAGTGGGAAGGTTCCGACCGGTTTCGCCGATGTAGACTTTGCTGCATTCACATGGAATGCGGTAGACTCCCGGCTTGGAAGAGGAGTCCTGCTTGTCCTTGTGAGTATGGAGGCTGCCTTGGAGCTTGTTGCCAGATGAGTGGTACACCTTGACGCGGGCTTGTCGGAGGATGCATTGCAGATGATGAGAAGCTGGACCTATGTAAGGAAGAGTGACTGAGGGAGATACAGTGGTATAGGAGACCCGTTGGTCAGGTTTGCTGATCGTGATGGGGTTGGGTTTGTAGCCGTTCCGTTGTAGTGTCGCCTGGATGTGCTTGAGTTCACGCTTGAGGTTGTCTTGGTCGCAGACCTTCGCACAAGGTGTTTCCGCAAACCTTTCATTATTTAGTATCTTCACCATGCAAAGCCTCAAATCTTACTTACCTTCAACATTTGCCCAATTTTTTTTGTTTTGTTTTACACAGGGATGCACGTTACATGGCACCGGACGTGCAGAAGGTGATCAGGACCATCATCAGCGAGCACGGTGACAAGACGCACCAGGAGGCGGACGACTACATCAAGAAGTTACAGTCCAAAGGTCGCTACGCGTGTGACGTCTGGAGTTAATTCAACAAAGATACTCCCTCCCTTCCTCCCATCACCAGCCCCTTCCTCCCATCACCAGCCCCCTCCCTCCCCTGCCCCCAACAAGACATCAACAGTGTATCAATAAACCTTAAAACCTCATAGATCCGCGAAAAATCCAACCGGGGGGGCCAATTTCATCGAGCTGCTAAGCTCGGGAAGTTTTTTAAGCACAAAAAACCCAAATGTTTAGCAAAAACAGGTTACCAGCTAAAATGTCATGCTAAGTGTACAGCCTGTGACTGGTTCTCGGCCAATTTTTTTGTTGAACACCTAAATTTACTAAGCAATGTTTTCCGCCCTCAGGTGTGGGAAAACAGCAACAATGAAGATTGTGCATATGAATAAACCTAAGACCTAATGACGTAATGGCTTTGTTTACATATGCCCTTTCCTATGGGAGCAAAGTCGGGACGCCAGACAAAGTAGGGACTATCTACCACATAGGAAAGTGCACATGTAAACAAAGCGTGACGTCATTAGGTCTCAGGCCTATTACTCTTTCGCTAATAGTTCTTTACATGGGACTGGACATACTTCAAAAAGTTTCTTTCAAGTTTAAGGAATGTGCTTTTATACCTGCCAATCAGAACATATTAATTGACTCTTTCGGGGCCCTTTTTGGTGCATGGGTGCCCTTGGCCATGCCATGCCGCGTTGGATAGTGGCCTGCGAATGACTTTGAATAATTTGGTTTCCAGCCAGACGCCAGAAAGTTCACGCTTTGCAGCGCTAGCGTGCAGTTTCAATCATATTTACAATGAATTAAGAGGCTAGTTGCTAGCAGCAATAGATTGATTGCATTCAGCCGCCATCTTTGAGGGGTGTTTTGTTATGTTAATTCATTAACAATGAATGAGCGAGGGGTCTACCCATACGTAACCCTGTCAAACAAAAAGGCACACGCCTCCAATATGGGCCAAGTTCGGGCAAGGACCATTAGTCGACTAGTGGTTGATTTGTGACGTACTTTACGCCTGCGCACTGGTAGCAACGTGCGAACGTCTCTAGTCAAACGCTGGTCAAAATGTCATCGCAAAACTTCTGGATCCTGGCTCTCTGCTAGCGTTATGAATGCGCGCGGCTATTGGTTACCAGCGAAGCAACCAGCCCCAGTAGGCTGGTTCCAAATAGTCGACTAGCGTAGTCAACCACCGTTGACTAGACAGAGTTCGGGCAAACGTTAGTTAACCATTGGTCAACTATAGTCCTTGCGCGAACTTGGCCATGGCTGCAGTGCACACGATGTACATTTTTTTTTTAGCCTGAATCTATGTAGTAAAATGATCTGATGTCAAACACATGCATTGCTAATGCAAGCAGCATAGGTGTTTGTGATCTGATTGTTTTTTTCAGGAGTGTGTTTGTGTTGTTGTTTTTTAAATGTAATAATTATCTATAAAAAAAGAAACTTGGAATGATTTTGTACGGGGACAATAACACTATATTCTCTTTTTGGTTATTTTTTTTGGTAGTGTGTTTGTACATTTTATAGAATACGAAGAGTGAATGTTCGGTGGTGGTTGTTTTAAAATTTGGCAAAACTTTGTTTCCGTTAGAAATATCATGTATCAATTAAATACTTGGCTTTTTATCCAGAATCAGGGAGCGTTTATCTATTATTTCAGCTGTTTTTCCATTAAACCAATAGACACACATGAAAAAAAAGAGGCTTAATTTCAAGAGATTGAACCGAGGTTTAAAATGCAGTTGCACCAACTAAGAAGAAAAAAAGGAAAAACCACCAAAATGTAAATGTCCATTTAGTGGTTTTTTTAAATACATTGCATCGATATCTTTTTAACTTAAGCTGTTTTGGATGAAGTTTTGGTTTGAACGGATTAACTGCCTTTTTATGCAAAGACAACTAGTGATACTGATATTTTAAACAGCCTTAAATGAAGTAACTGCATAGTTATGTTTAGATAAACTGATTTTCAAGAGTGTAATTGCTAACCCCTGTAGACTGTCTCTTTTTCTGCTGCCTTAAATGTAGTTTAAAACGAGAAGTTAAAAACTGTTTTTTTTTAAGTTGTTTTAAAAATTTTTTATAAAAGTGAATCTGTTTTCTAGTCAACATTGTATTGAGCAAGGAAATTAACTAGAGGGGGATTCGAACCTTGCCCCTTGAGCTAAGACTGATTGGGAAAGCCTTAACAAAGGCCTGGATAGCTCAGCCGCTATTAAAGTGCCAGTGCACCGTTCCAGGGATAAGGTTGGCACATAGTAGAACTTTCCTTGCCTTCCACCACTGTGACCCGGGTTCGAATCCCGCCTCAGCCCACATGCAAGTTTTTAAGAATTTGTTCGAGAAACAGTAATTGAATAAGTTACAGGGATTGGAAAAACAAATGTGACACTACCTCTATGCCTAAACAAAGTTTTGGGAGAAACTGACCAGTCGTAAATTTTGTAAGACTAGTCCCATAAACCCGTATGTTAAAGTTTTAAAGAAAAAAAAAATGTACAACTTCTACATGCTTTCATGGTTTTTCATGAAACTTGGATGCAGTGACCCTTGGGTGGGGAAGACACAATTCTTCATCGGACTACTGAGGTCAAAGGTCATGTAGGAGTCATTAGAGGTCATTCAAATATGCTTCAGATGTTTCTTTGTCTACAGAAATTGATGGATTTTTAATGTAACTTGGCTGGAGTGATCCTTGGGTGGGGGTTCATCACAGGTCTTCCAAAACTGGAGGTCAAAGGTCATCTAGGGGTCATTTCAGGTCATTGTTTAAAAATGCACACAATACGACTTTTTTTAAGAGCACAAAAAAATATTGGATCAAAAAGGTGATACATGCGGTCCGCTGCAGACCACAAAACAGATGTAAAATGTACATATTGAAGCAATCTTAGAATCATGATCCAGACGGAAATATAACTACATAATTTTAAATACTTAACAATATGTAATATTCTGTTGCTAATTCAGAAGTGTACGTACATTTTAAGGTATTTTATATCAATGCATGTACATAGTGCTGTGAAACATTTGTTCTTATTCACCAAAGAAACTGGAGGTGTAATTACTACGTTTTTGCATGAATTGTTAGACATTAAATAGAGTTTTTTTTTGTGGGGCACAAAATCATAGTCTTTAACATTACCTCAAAATATTATCCAAATTTAGAGTCATCGACTGGCCAGTGCATAAGTTTTTGTCCCAATGACCTTTGACATTTGGGTTATTTAAATATTTAATTATGTGTGCATAGCTAGGCCAATCAGACTACACGAGGCTAACAAAATCATCACAACACACAATAACCAATATAGTTTTAGAAGCATAGACCTTATGCATGGTGGCAGTTGCCTCTACTCATCTATTTGCATGAGGACAGGCTACCAGTCCACAAAATGCGCCATGAAAAATAGATCCTGATACTCACAAGATGGAATTTCATAAAATAGAATTTGCTAATTTTGCGATATTCATAAGATGGAATTTGCGATGGAATATTGATTTAGATCCTAAGCATATGCTGTACATTGTTTAACTGCCAAAAAATGATGCTGTATTTAGTAGCATGTACATGTACTCACATTGAAGGTACAATAATCCACTTGTTCTCCATTTTGTAAGTATCTTCAATTTGTTATACATGTTTTTTGCAGCCCACTTTACAGAAATGAAGCTTACAAATTTGGTTGTGTATCACAACTAATGATATCTCGTACGTACGGCAGTAATGGACCGATCCAGTAAGCTCCGCCCAGTGCGCACGTGGGCAAATTAACACGTGCGCCTCTCCAATGCCACGCTGCATTTTCCTTCCGCGCGCATCATACGCGCGCGCGTGAACGCATGTCGGACTTTAGTGCACGCACGTCGGACATAAATCACGGCTGTGATTGGTCAGAACACCATGGGGCGGTGCTTACTGGATCGGTCCATTGTCTTTGTCTTGAAAGAGAACATGCTTGTAGCTTCATTTCTCAATTAAACTGCTGCCTTGAATTTTGCTGTTGTACTTTTGCTTTGCCTTCACAAATCAATGTCAACATTTTCAATTTTCTTACTTGTAGAATTTATTTAAATATTTCTGTATCTGCATTTCAATTTCATTTTCCCAGCTTGTAATATTTCTAGTCCAAGTATACGTGTATTTTAATTGTAGTAAACTTGAATAAGTAAATATGGTAAGAAGTGGAAGCTTGTATTAGTAAATATGAATAAATTTTACAAAACGAATAATACAATTTTGGGAAAACTCATGAAAAGCTTGTTTATTTTATAGTTTCGAAACCTGGGCATCCCTTCCGTTTTTCTGAAGGAAAAAATACAGCAATTAATGGCACTTGTAGCATCTTGGTTCCAAAGATGCAATGATTTTGCTTTTTTGTTCGCTTTGCGCGTCGACCGCTAGCTGGGTGGAGTCGTGGCACCCGTTAGGTGTAGGAGTTGTATTGAGTTTGGTTTGGAAGCACTTTATACGACCGTGCAGGAGCGTATTACGGTCATTTTTATTGGGGGGGGGGGGGGCTGGTACCATCTGCGGCGCTGTTCAAAACCGAAAATTATGCGCACAAAGGGCCAATATATGGTGCTTTCAGAGCGATACATGTGCGAATTTTTTTTCAATTTTGGCCCAAAAAAAGAAATTTCCTGAAAGTTGCTTAAAAGATGCCTTGAGGGCCCTAGTTGATGTTCCTCTTGCATCCAGACGAACTTCTGCCTTCTTTTGAGAAAAGTCAATTTTTGACCGATTTTAACTAAAAATGTAAGGCTAACCCCTTGCATTTTTTTCAATTTTGGCCAAAAAATGAAGTTTTATGAAAGTTGCTAGAAAGATGCCTTGAGGGCCCTAGAACGCATTCCAAATTGATTGCTGGACAGATGTGCTATTAAAGGGGAAATTCTGTCGAAAAATTGAGGTAAATTGCTCAAAATTACCCTTTTTTCCCCAAAAATTGACGATTTTTGACTAAATCTTCAAAATTATGTGTGTTACAGTATTGATTGACGTTACTCTTGCATCCAGATGAATTCTGCCTTGTTTTGAAAAAAGTCAATTTTTGGCCGATTTTGACTAAAAATGTAAGGCTTACCCCTTGCATTTTTTTTCAATTTTGGCCAAGAAATGAAATGTCCTGAAAGTTGCTAGAAAGATGCCTTGAGGGCCCTTGAACGCATTCCAAATCGATTGCTGGACAGATGTGCCATTAAAGGGGAAATTCTGTCGAAGAATTGAGGTAAAATCAATCCAAAAAATTCTCTTTTTCTCCAAAAATTGCCGATTTTTGACCAAATCTTTAAAATTATGTGTTAGAGTATTGATTGATGTTCCTCTTGCATCCAGATGAATATCTGCCTTGTTTT